ACCAAATAAATATGTTTAAAAATATTTTCAGCCCTAACCGGTTTGGCTCAGTGGATAGAGCATCAGCCTGCAGACTGAAGGGTCCCGGATTCGATTCCAGTCAAGGGCATATGTACCTTGGTTGCGGGAGCATCCCCAGTGGGGGGCGTGTGGGAGGCAGCTGATAGATGTTTCTCTTTCATCTATGTTTCTAACTCTCCCTCTGCCTTCCTCTCTGTAAAAAAATCAATAAAATATATTTAAAAAATATTTTCAGTTACATGCTTTCATTGTTGTGATGAAATTAATAAAATTTTGTATAGTAGACACAGGTTTACCCTTCTAGCTATCAACAGGTGCTATAAACTGTCACAAAGTATTTATTTACAGATAAGTGATTGGAACAGAGTGGAAAATGCCCACACACACCAAATATATGTAAGACTTTAAAAATTGATACTGGTGACACTTCATGTTTGTAGGAAAAGGTCAATTAACCCTTTGAGTGCCAACCAATATGCTAGAAACTATGCTAAAATTGCCAAGGCATTTTTGCTGATTTTACAGCAGTTTAGGAAAAAAATTATGAAAGTTAGGCAGATAAATGCCAGTGGTCAATTTTAGAACTACAAACATTCGGCATCATAAGTAATCTGCACTTAGGTGCCATCTGTCAATAAAGAGTGAACTACTACCATCTAATAGTGACACTGCAGGAGGAGCACAATAGCGCTCCCAGCACTTATGGGGAAAGACAGGAGGAGTGCGATCATGTTCCCCGACACTCTAGAGGTTAAAAATGGTAGAAATTTTCTGTTAAGTATTTGGAGAAAAGTAACTAGATTAAAATAAATTCCAGTTTAAAAATTTAAATATAGAAAATGAGAAAAGTACCAGAAGAAAGCACAAATGCTTATTTATACACTAGAGGCCCGGTGCATGAAATTTGTGCACGGGGGGGGGGATCCCCTCAGCCGAGCCTGTACCCTCTCTAACCCGGGACCCCTTGGGGGATGTCCGACTGCTGATTTAGGCCCGATCCCCAGGCCGTCAGATATCCCTCTCACAATTCTGGACTGCTGGCTCCTAATTGCTCACCTGCCTGCCTGCCTGGTCTCTCCTAACTTCCTCCCACCACCAGCCTGATCACCCCTCACTGCCTCTGCATGCTGGCCTGATTGCCTCTAACTGCTCTCCTCTGCTGGCCTGATCATTCCTTGCCGGGGTTCTTGTCCCAGCATCAAGAAGGGTTCAGGAATCTGGAGAAGGGGCTGTGTGTAGATGACATAGGAATCCAGAGACTAATAAAGAGTCTGGAGATGAGATATAATTTTGAAAGGCATTGCGGGTCAGAGGAGCTTAGCTAAAGGAGCTAAGATCTAAGGTCTTAAGTCTAAGGTCTTAGGTTCTCTCCATCCCCAGGACCCCATGCTTTTTATTAACACAACTTGTCCTGAGGCGAGGCAGAGATATACAC